AGCCTTGTGACGTCATTATACATAAGGTCTATTGGTACGTTACAAAAAAAATTCATCATAATTTGATAAGAATGTTCTCATGAGTTTGTGTATATAATATGCATGAACATTCATAAATTGGTTATAAGTATGACCTAATCACATGACCAGCACTGTGACCAGATTTGGTAAATTAATTAATACTTTTTGCAAAAATTTAAATTTAATAAATTTTCCCAAAAGTTTGATAAAATATAATTTTGATATTTTTGGGTAAAATATAAAAAAAACCACGAGTCCAGATGATAACTTGTATGAACCATTTGGTTTAACTACAAGAGACCTGGATATAGCAAAACGGTGGTGTATCATTAAAAGTACAAATGCCACGATTTCTATAAGAAACAAGCAGGATAGGTTCTTCTCCATGTCCGTGTATACTGCTGTTGTCAATATTGGGAAAGAGGCTTTTTCAGATACAACTCGAGTCCACCTATCCAAGAAAAGAGAAACAGACTCAACACTTCCACCAGTGCCAGCAACCCATTTGTTTCTCTTGCCAAAATCTGCTAATTATGCTAATGGCAATTTCTCTATTCCCAAATCCTGCCAAACAACATTTTCCAGTGGTGATCGAGTTCCTGGTATGAAAATTGTGGGAGCACGCAGAGGTAAAAATGAAAAAATCATTTTTGTAGCTCTTGAAGGAGCCATTGTAAGTGGTGAGAACAAGACTGGACCACTTGCCATGGCTTTAAATGTGGATCTGGATGGCAATGGAAAAGTTAAAGTTTCTTACTTGAAGGGTGTCTATATTCCTCCCGCAGAAAAAGTTTGTGGGCTTGACTTGACTGAAATACGCTGTAAGCAAAAAATTGAAGAAACAATTGATCAATTGATAGAAGACGGTGTTGCAAAGTGGTAGATGCTATAGGAACGAATAGATGAACTGACGCCTGTGGAATATTAAGTAAGTTACCTGTTATATATTTCTTAGCTTTAAACTTACTGTAACCATATATATGCCGGCATAATATGTTTTAGGTGTTTGTGGTGTTACTTTGAGTATATATCCACACCATGCAAGCTTGAAAAATATGCCTGGCCATGGTGGAAATCGAACCTATGACCTCTGGAATACTAGCCTGCATGACAGGCGGTACCCTAAAATCGGGCAAGCCTGGGAAAGACCGCCTGCTGGGTTTGGCAGTGTAATCGAATTCCCCGTCCACCAGTGGACGGGAATTGATGATTGGCTGTGAGTCTGAGCCGCTGTCACTCAAAAGTGAATACGCTTTTAATATGTCACAGCATAATATGAACGCTTCGCGAAAGCTAGTTGAAAACGCGAACTGATTGTCAAATCTCAAATGCGAGCAAGAGATAGCAGTTAAAGATTTGCTCCTTGTAAAAAATTTTTGGCCGTTCTACCTACAGGTTATGGGAAAAGCTTGATTTTTACATTGTTCTTGTTGGCGCGAGAAAATGTAACGAGAATAAATAAATACAGACCGCCGTAGAGTCTATTGCAACAGGTTTAACAGGACTACTACGCCTTGGCCTGTTAACCGCTTCACTTTCTGAGGCTAAGGCTAGTTTTCTAACACTCAGCTTTGTTAAGGAGACGAGGCAGTTTATTTGGCAACCGACGTTTTTATACAACAGTCTATTTGTCCGATACGTACACAGGCAACGTGTTTATGTCTCGTTGGATTTAATATGGCAATGAGTTCGCTTGCGTTTCGGATCTTTCGCCCACATGGTTTACAAACTCGGTCGGATAGTTCCGAGGTAGAACTAACTTCGATTCCTAAATGAACTGAGCACAATTTGTGATCGGCTTATTGATCGGCAAAGGTTTTGCCACTGGTTTCTACTCCATTTATTCATTAGTCTATTAAAATGTATATAAATATTTGGCAACTGTGAGACTTCATCAGCTACCAAAATATTTCACCCATAAGCTGAAAACTTTCACTGCTTTTTGTATTTTACGTGACGTTTATTAATTCTCAAAATTATGTCAAATCTCTACCCAAAACGCATGAAATGGCATTTCAGAGACTATAGACATATAAAATTTCCTGCGTGAGGCCGCCCCTGGGCAGCCTACCAGGTCCCCGGCCTTCGGCAATCGAGTGCCCTTTTCAAGATTCTGCCCCCGCCGCTTTTCAGTTCTTCCAGCGCCCCTGAATCTCCAGCTACAAGATGGATTTAATATGGCAATCAGCTCGCTTGCGTTTCGGATCTTTCGCCCACACGGTTTACAAACTCGGTTGCCGGATAGTTCCGAGGTAGAACTAACTTTGATTCCTCAATGAAGCACAATTCGTGATCGGCTTATTGATCGGCCAAGGTTTTGCCACTGTCGTAATCGTTTCTTTTGCTTGCCTTAAATATAAATCTATTAATTGCCCCATGTTTTAGTTTCAAAGCACACTTAATACACAAACGACAGTGGTCATTTACATTTTCCGCGCTTGCTTTTCTACCTCTTGTCGTTATTCAGAAGTCCTGATTGAAACTTTCAATGGCGTTTCTTTTGACATATTTTATATTTGCAATTTTGTGACGCCGACCGAACAATAACATAGTTTGAGTGTTTGACAGTTTGATTATTAATATATTTAGTGTTTGCTGATTGGCTAATTGGACCCGGACAAAAAAGTGGGCGGTTATCAAATTACACTGCCAAACCCAGCAGGCGGTATTTTAGACCGCCTGCCATGCAGGCTACAGGAATACCAGCCCAATTCTCTGCCAAGTGAGGGCCTGTTTATATGGAGGCGAGTTACCCAGCAAGGCAAGTTACCTGCCCAGGCGGACCAAACAAGTTCTCCGTTTATATGGAAACGAGTTACTTGGCATTTGCTGCATGATTGCCACATTACGCCGAAATTGCGCAAAAACACAAAAAGGATTTAAGAGAGGATGTCCACAAAAATCAAACATAAGGCGGCCACGACGGAAAAATCGATTTTGCTCAAATTCCGCCCAGATATACCTTATTATATCGGAAAATGCACCATATATTTTTTTAGGTCAAATGCTTTTTTAACTTTGAGAAAATGCCGTTTTAACACGACCACCCTAAATCGCCATTTTGTCTGGGAAAATATGCGCTGATTTTACCGACAAATTTCACAACGACAACCGTTTATAATCGATCTAAAACCCTAAAAATCTTGTTTTCGGTTATTCAAAGGACCGGGTACGTGACTTACAGGAAATCTGAGTTACTTTTAGGAATAGAAATAATCGTAGTTTTGGAGCACACTATCTTACCTCATTTACGATACCCTCTTAACAAAACTGATTTTCACCATGGGATAAAGCTCCAAATCGATCATGCTTCTACTAGTTGGCTCTTTAATAAACAAGCTTTCAATTGATGTAAATACTTCTTTGGGCAAATGAATACGCGATAAACGACAGCGCGTTGAAATCGTCCGTTTTTGACGTCTTGCAAGTCAAACGCTGTTAATTTACATACCGTCGAAGTAAACAATTTAATCAAGTATTTTAAGTATTTTACCTTTTGATAAGAAGATATATTCTTGAATGGAGACTTTTTGCCTTGCTAAGTTTAAATTGGTCCAGAAATCCCGATATATTTGTGAAATATCATCATATACAGGTATTTTGAGATATAATATTGTTGTCAGTTGCATGATAACTTCAGATCAGTGTTCAATATTGTCTACTTTTAATAGCACTAACATACAAAGCTATGAGCTGTTTAGGGATTATATTTGTTACTAAATTTACCAAAATAATTAGAACTACAACTGCTGTTTTCAGAGGTTTTGTTCCATTTTGTCCATATTATTAAATTAATGTACCAGTTATGTATCGACTATAATGTTTACGAAGACGTAAGTTAATTATTAAGCAGGTGTTAGCGTGCGTGTACATGAAATGAACGTTTATAATGTTTATCAATATACGGAGTTTTTATTTTTAGTTTACCAGCCCTTATATTTGAATAGCCGAATTCATATTAGGGACGCGAAACTCGTCTTAGACGGAAACTCGTCTGTGAAAACCCGTCTGAATATGAATTTACGGACGGATAAATTCGAATTTAAAGCTGGGTTACAGTCCATTCTGCGCATGTCTCAAATGTGTACACATTTTGTAAACATTGTCATAGAAAAATATTACGTAATGCTATAAACTGATAGCATTTCAGAGAAGATGGCTGACGCACAGGAGTGCCAAAATTCTATTTGTTTTTAACTCGCTTATATATTCACATCAAAGCAAGAAATACGGTCAAAAAAGAAACTTTATATCTAGAAAGATGTATCTAAAGTGTGTTTTTACGAATATAAGTTATATGTGAAAGAAAATACGTGAAAGTATTTTGTGGTGTCGGATTGGCAAAATTAAATTATACAAAATAATATGAATTTCACCCAGTCATTGGATAAGTAAGCTCTTGTTACAAATGGAAATGCATATCAAATATCAATTTCAACACGCTACAGCAAAGTTGACAATGGCGGCTCGCGACCATCTACTTGAGACTTTCAAAGGCAAATCCTTCTAATGCATTTCTGGTCGCCAGAACCAACCAGGAGATCGAAAAGAATATTTCGCGAAAAGGTATGCATCGAAATTGTAGTATTGGTCGGTGGAATACTCTGCTGATTGAGCTTGTATACGAAACATCAAGATAAGTGGTAAGTACATATAAACAGATACAGTATCCTTGGATATTTCAATTATGTTAATATTGTTATATTTCGTCATTACAAAACTTTATTGTGCACTTATAGCGCTGTGGAAACCCAGACGGATCAGCAGACATATGAAACAATGCAGCCATGAGCCACTTCCAGCTATGCAGACAATGTTCAGCAAGTATATGTTCAGTAATCAGTATATGTTCAGCAAGTATATTTTCAGTATATGTTCAGCAAGGGAAACAGTGATGGAATCATGTAAAGATTCTTACTCCTAAGCAGTACGAATACATTATACAACTTCTTACAATGAAGGTATGTATAACATTTTATGCTTTCCTGAATCCTGGTGAGAAAAAATATGTGTAATCCATTTTCTTATCACATTTTCAAACAAATCTTTTGATCATTCTGTAGGCATGTTAAGGGCACAGTAGCACCCGCTGATTGATATGTTTAGAGCATTAATTAGAGCACTTAAATGCTTTTTTGGAAACCAAATTTTGATTTGAATGAACATGCAGTAATAAAGTCAAAATTTGGCTTGATTAAGTGCTTTTAAAACACATTGCTCAGCAGGCACTAATGTGCATTTAAACAGGAATAAAATTAATTGTAAGTCTTCTTTAGGTATGGGGATTGGTATTGGAAGTGATGACCAAAGGCAAAGTGCCCCTAACATAGCCCCTGTCCCTCCTCCTTCAGTCAAAGAACTTGTTGAAACCCATTAGTCTTAAGATTCAAATGATCGCTGTGGACAAGTGTCTGGCACTTAAAACTGCTGGGTAGGTGGAGCTCATAATCCCTGATTTTAGCGCCACTCTCCGCCTGGTTATGGAAACCTTTGAATTTAAAGACACACAAAAGTGTTAAATAATTTTTTTCAATATTTCAATTTATTATTATATTTCAAATGCAAAGCACATAGTACATTATATCTCGGGCGGCCGAGTTACCTGGCAAAATGTTTACATGGGAAATATTTGTCCCGCCTAGGCGAGATCCCGCCTCTTTCTGCCGTGGGAACTCGCCAAGGCTGCATCATGTAAACAGTCACCCGGGATTACTATTAGTTTCTGTAATAGCCGGGTTCTCGCCATGCCGGGTAACTCGCCATGCCGGGTAACTCGCCTCCATATAAACAGGCCCTGAGTCATGTGGTCAAGTAGGTTTGAGTATGTGATATTTCGAAACTGAGTCTAGTTCCTTCGATACCAATGCAATCTAGTAATCATGA